TATATTTTTTTGGAATAAAAAGTTCTGCAAAGCGAGTTTCATATTGAGCAGATATTTTTGAAATTACTTATGGACAACATTGTGAAGCATGAGTATTCCTGAACACTTAATTGTGCTCGTGAGGAATCTGTATGTGAAACAAGAGGCAGTTGTTCGAACAGAATATGGGAACACTGAATGTTGTAAAATTAGCAAAGGTATGAGACAGGGTTGTATTCTTTCACCATACTTATTCAACCTGTATGCTGAATAAATAATCTGAGAAGCTAGGTTATATGAAGAAAAATGTGGCATCAGGACTGAAGGAAGACTCATTAACAACCTGCAATATGCAGATGATACAACCTTGCTTGCTGAAAGTGAAGAGGACTTAAAGTATTCACTGATGAAGATCAAAGACACAGCCTTCAGTATGGATTGCATTTCAATGAAAAGAAAACAAAAATCCTTACCACTGGACCAATTAACAACATTCTTATCAAAGGAGAAAAGATTGAAGTTTTCAAGGACTTCATTCTTCTTGGATTAACTATCAACACTCATGGAAGCAGCAGTCAAGAAGTCAGATGACATATTGCATTAGGCAAATCTGCTGCACAAGACCTTTTTAAAAGTGTTGAAGAGCAAAGATGTCAGTTTGAGGACTAAGGTGCGCCTGACCCTTCGGTCTGGACAGTGAATAAGGAAGACTGTAGAAGAATTGATACTTTTGAGTTATGGTGCTGGAGGAGAATATTGAAAGTACCATGGGCTGCCAAAAGAACCAACAGATACCTGTTGGAAGAAGTACAGCCATAATGTTCCTTGGAGGAGCCAAACTTTATCTCTCATCCTTCAGATATATTGTCAGGAGGGACCAGTCCCTGGAGAAGGATATCATGTTTGGTAGGGTAGAGGGTCAGAGAAAAAGAGGAAGACCCCCAGTGAGATGGATTGGCAAAGTGGTAGCCATCAGTGGGCTGAAGCATGGCAACAATTGTGAGGTTGGCCCAGGACTGGACAGTGTTTCATTCTGTTGTACATAGGGTCGCTATGAGTCAGTACCGACTCGATGGCACCAAACAACAACAATGGTATATTGAATTTATAAAATATGTTCTTCTAAGACTTCAAGAGACTTCCATGAGTATTTTGATTTTATGCCCACTTTTAAATCGTACAATGTAAAGGGAAAGAATTACTATGCACATCTTTATTACAAATGAAAAAACTTTCATTTCCCATTGTCCATGCTGCCTTTTAAAAGACTACTTCTTTACTCAAAATATTCAAGTAGTCCAGGCATGGTATGTTATTGTTATTACTGATAATGTTCTTTTCTTCTTTTAAAAATTATAACCCTCATTATAAAATAGTTTTTGTTTGGAGGTCATAATCTGTAGGTTGGCAGAGAGAAAAAAATGTGAAGGTTATGAACTAGAAACATTTCATCCCTAAAGAGCAAGGTTATGATTATGAATAAATCTAAGTGACAGCAGAATGCAACTTTACAAAGGACTTTTAAAAGAGAATAAATGTGTATTTTGTTCCTGAATTTAACGTCTACGTCTTCATTTTAAGAAGTAGAGTCCTGGTGTGGTACTGCAGGATAATGTACTGGACCAAAAGGTCGGTTTGAACCACAAGGTCAGTGGTTCAAGCCCACCAGCCGCTCCTTGGAAACTATAAACGGTCACTATGAGTTGGAACCAGCTCGACAGCACTTAACAACAACAGAGCTAAGCATTGAGTTACTGACTTCAGATTCAGCGGTTCAAACTAACAAGCTGCTCTGCAGGAGAAAGATGAGGCTATCTGCTCTTGCTACGATTTAGTCTTGGAAACTCAAAGGCACAGTTCTTATTCTGTCCTATAGGGTTGCTATGAGTTGGAATCAACACCATGACAGTGTTGTGGAGAGTAACATAGTGGTTAAGCACTCAGTTACTAACCAAAACATAGGCAATTCGAACCCACCAGCTGTTCCATGGGAGAAAGATGCAGCCAATCTGCTTCTCTAAAGAGTTACAGCCTTGGGAAACCTATGGGGCAGTTTTACTTTGTTGTATTGTTGTTGTTATGTGCTGTGGAATTGGTTCGAATGACCCTGTATAGGGTTTCTGAGGTTGTAAAATCTTTAGAGGGTCACTATTAATCAGAATTTGAATCCACAGCAATGGGTTTGTGGTTTATCCATTTTTCTCTTGTTCTTTCTAGATATACTGAAAAAGTATAACAAACTAGAAATTAGAACATGAAAGTGAGTCCCTTTAAATATGCTCTTGTTGAGTCAAGATAAACTACATATAAGTGGGAAATTTCAGCTTAATACTTGGTTTAAGTGAGTTGGCTTTGTCCACTGTCCTAGGGCCTGCCCAGGACTCTGCTCTTTCATAGACTCACTGGATGCCTCTGTTTTAGGGTGCCCATACCAGCTACCCCCTGGTCCTAGGCTTTCACTGTACTTCGTGCATGTAAGATCTCAATATAGCAAAAATATCACTGTACGAGATTTGGGTGATTTGCATGTCTGTCTTCCTGTTTGATTCTAAGCAATTTATGATTGTTGTTCTGTGCCACTGAGTTGGTTCTGACTCATCTAGATCTTGGCTAGGGTTTTCGAAAGCAACTGGTGGGTTTGAACTGCCGACCTTATTGTTACCAGTCCAATGCTTATCCTACAGTGCCACAACAAAACTCAATTTATGGTTGAGACTGGGCTTTTTCATACTTGTACTTCAGCAACTGCTGGTGAGTTGATTTGGACTCATAGTAACCCCAAGTGTGCAGAGTAGAACTGTGTTCTGTGGGGATTTCAAGGCTGTGACCTTTTGGATGCAAAAGTAAAGTCTGTCTTCTTAGGCACCTCTGAGTGGGTTTGAACCGCCAACCTTTCAGCCAGTAGTTGAACCCTTCATTGTGAGTGACTCTACTTTCCATATAGACCCAAACTAAACTCATAGTCATCGTGTTGATTTTAACGCATAGTGGAGCAGAGTAGAACTGCCCATGGGGTTTCCAAGGTATAAATCTTTCTTCCATGAAGCAGCTGGTGGGCTCAAACTACCAACTTTTTGGTTAGAAACTGAGTGTTATTACCACTGTGCCACCAGGTTCCTTGGGTGGGGCTTATTATATGTTGGATGACTGATCTTGTGATATCTAGGAGCCAGTGCTAGAGGTACAGAATTAAGATCTTAAGAGTTACCAGTCTATACATACATCTTCCAGAAAGAAGGAAGCATACTTGAACTCAAACCTACTTCCCAATGTCAAACAAGTCTTTGACAATCATTCAGCTTGGATTCACTCAATTTAACCAACTTCCCGTTTCTACTCCATGTTTCCATCTTTGGAGGCTGTTGGTGACATAGCTCTCCTCTCAGCATGCTCATACATATCAATTTACTTTAGCAATCTAGTTTGGTTTAGACTGAAATGTGTCCATGATGTTCTTTTGGAAATCATTCAATGTATACACTCTTTATCCTTTGAACTGTTTTCCCATCTGCTGCCTTAGGCCTCTCTCATTCCTGAACAAAGATTAAGATTTCTACACAAGAAAAACTGCTGTAACGTCATCATTTACACGTAAACTTGCAACAAAGGGAATTTGGAATCCTGTAAAATGTAAAACTCCCAGCATCTTTCAAGGAATATTCATTTTTCTCCTGCTTCTAACTTGCAAAAAACCTTGGCCTAAAGCACAGTACCAGATGTCCACACTCAGTCACTGAGATAAGAGGCATCTGCGTCTTTTATCTTTGTCATTGAATATGTCCTTGGCTTTGAAGTCAGCAGATGACGGAAATATCATTTGACACTCTAAACCCCTGTCTAATTTGAGATTGGGTCGGTTTCTTAATAAGTCTGTGGAATTTTCCCAAACTGTTGGCCTGTTTTCTATCTTACTTCCCTCAGTGTTTTGATGTAGAATTGTGCTTCTTTAGGTATATGCTTAAGGTGCCCTGGTAGCGTAGCAGGTTATGAGCTGGGCTGCTAACTGTAAGGTCAGCAATTCAAACCTACCAGCAGCTCTACCACAGAAAGATAAGGCTTTCTGCTCCCATAGTACTTACAGTTCTGGTGTGGGGCTGTAGAATAAGCACTCCACCATAAGATTGGTTTGAACCGCAAGGTCGGTGGTTCAAACTTACCAGGCGCTCCTCGGAAACCCTATGCGGGAGTTGCTATGGGTGGGAACCGACTCACAGCACTCAAAACAGCAATGATTTACAGTCTCGCACACCCTATACAGAGTCCCTATGAGTCAAATGGACTCAACAGCACACTACCATCACCACCAACAGGTATATGTTTAAGGAACTCAGGTGACGCAGTGGTTGGAGCACTTGGCTGCTAACCAAAAGGTCGGCGGTTTGCGATGACCAGCCATTCCATGGGACAAAACTGTGCCAGTCTGTTTGTACAAGGCACCTTGTGCAAGTTCTGTCTGTTCAGTGTAATTAACAAGGCTTTAAAGAGGCCCTGTAAGGAGCTCTGGTAGCTAGTGGTTACGAATCGGGCTGCTAACTTCAGGGTCACCAGGTCGAAGCCACCAGCTGTTCCAAGGGAGAAAGATGAGGCTTTCTGCTCCCGTAAAGATTTACAGCCTCGGAAACCCTACGCAGGCAGGGTCGCTATGAGTCGGAACCGACTCCACGGCATATAACAGCAACAACAACGAAGCCCTGTACACTAACAAAATGGCCACCCGTGATTACTTTCGAGCCGGCCCGCAGAATCCACGTAATTGCTGGTGGCACCCGAGCTTTCGCGTTGCGAACCCCCAATTATCCCGCAGCCACCAGGGCCTTCCAGGCTGTTCCTTTGTCTGCTTCTCCCTCCGCCGAGCCGGCCCAGACCAGGACTTCTCCCCGCCTCCTAGCGGGCTCTGGCTGTTCCGTCAGACACCGCCCCTCCCCAGCGCCAGAGCCAACAGCGCCGCTCCGCCGCCCCGCCCCCGTGCGGCAGCCATCCTCCTACATCCGGGTACCGACTCGAGCCGAACAGACTCTGGCACTATGGTCATGGCGGAGGGAACGGCAGTGCTGAGGCGGAACAGACCGGGTACCAAGGCTCAGGTACTGTCTTCCTTACCATTCTTGTCTGAGAGGACGCGGTTCCTAGCCGCACCGCATCTGCAAGCTGGCCACCCTCAGGGGATGTTAGGCCGAGCCGGCGGGCTAGGCACGGGTGCCCGGCCTGCTCTTCCGGAGCAGTTACTACTCAGTTTGGCCGAGGCGGCGGCGTTGGCCGAGGCCTGCCCGAGCCCAGACTTGAGGGTGGACAGGAAGGGCGGGTGGGGGTCGCGGCTTGGGCCCGCCGAAGGCGGGGACTGGGAAGGTCTGTCATTGGTAGCTGCCTGCTGGGCCTCACCAGAGACTTCACCTGATTAGTGCCGCAGGGGCGCGGCTTGGCCAGGTGGAGACCCCGGGGACTCCCTCCGGGTTGGGAGCGGTGTAAACCCCGCGAGGTCCCTGCCTGCTCCGTGAGGAACCTGCCACCCCGCTTGTCTAGCCGGGTCGGTAAGCGAGAATTGACTTCATTCTCCTGTTTGCCTTTGATCGTCTCTGGTCCTGCCAGTGTCCATCCTCAGGTTGTGACTTGTTAGGTGTCAGCCCTTGCGGATTTCCTTGTTTTGTATGAACATAGTCGGAGAATGAGCTGATTATGATCTTAGCAGCTTTCAGTAGGGCACTATTTGGGATAAGTTGGTGCTTGTTTAGGTATTGGTTCTTCGGAGTTGCAAAAGATGGGATGCCTCACACTCTGACAAAAACAAAAACACATTGGCATGTAGATTCGTTATGATTGCTCTGCTAGCCAAAATTGTTGTTGAGAATATGCTTTCACAAGAGATGCTCAAAATAATATCTAAAAAGCGATATAAATTGGGGAGGGGAATTGAACAGTCATGGAGCTCTGATTATAAATTAAAGTCTCTAAGAAGAGACTTTAATTTCTTGCACAGAATAATGGAGAGGGAGTTTTGAAAAGGGAGCTTACAGATCTAGACACCTTCCCAGACTCATGTAACAGATGAGGAAACTAAAGCCCAGATAATGGAGTGGATTTTGGGTCAAGATTACTTACCCTCTCGGATCCCAGTTCTCTGGTGATCGCTCCTCTTTAACAAGTGCAATTTTAGAGAATTTATTTTGAAAGGCGTGCGGAGTGACATTAAGCTGTCAGTTACTTCTCTTGGCAGTGTTGTGGTCACTCTACTGGAAATTGATATGCTGTGTTTGCTTTTTATTTTTTCCAATTCTACCCTCCTCCCACGTATCTATTATTTTGTGGAAACGTTGTTTCTTATTATTTTTAAAACAATCAACTTTTGTATTTTTTATTCAGAAATGAACTTTCTGTGCTCATTTTGAGAGTTATCTCATTTTATTTACTCAAGTGTTTTTAATTGAAAGGCTACAAAACAATATATTTTCAGTTGATATTATAACACATCTGTTTGCTGTGTTGTCAGGAGTAAGTCCCATATAGAGAGCTCCTTTGCTTTTTCCACATAGTCATAGATCGAGGTTGTAAAATAAAATATAACAAAAAGATTAGGATTACTAATAAAGATACTTCTTAAGCAGCTGCCTCTCCTATTCCATTGTGTGTTATACTCATTTGCTTCCGTGAAATAGGTGTATTTTAAAGTGATGCATTTAGAAAGCCAGTAGTGTATGCAGGGTATCGTCATACTATTTTTGTTTTTAAAGTTGGTTAAATTGCCCTGTAGGCACATTGTTGGTGTTGGATAAATGTTTGTTGACTGAATTAGGTGGTGGTGGTGGAATTAAACTTGATATTTGGTTCATTTTGTGTTTCTGAATTACCTCAATTATGAGGAGGTAAAACATGTGGTTCCTAATTAACTTTTTAAACATCTTGTCTATATAACATTATATATGTTTTCTGATATTTTTAAAATAAAATATTCTGTAAACTTAAAATTCTTATAATTTTAAAGGAAAGAATAATCAAAAGTGGATTCATAGAAACAATATAAATAATTTTGGAAGAATTTAAAGATTACTCTTAATATTTAGATGATACCTTTGAAAATGTCCAGAAGGTTTTATTTTTGTTTCTTGACATTTCCCCTTTAATAATAATAAATACTAGTTTAGTTTCATTCTGAACAACTATGGAGAAAAAATTTATTAGATTCTTACGACACTTTACCCACTACCCACCCTCAGAACTGAAGCATTACTAGTATAGTTGAATTTCTTTAGGTCACATTTTCCTATCTTCTTTCTTATCCTCACCCCTAACCAGTATTGGTGATTCGGTGATTTCCATTCCCTTTTTATACTTCTGTTGCAGATGTATGATATCCATAAGTATGCTTTTACACTTAAACTTTTATCTGTGTGTTATCATGCACTATGTATTCTCCAGTTTGTTTTTTGCTAAAGATTTTTGGATACTTGCTCATGTTGATACAGGTAATATAAAATATTGGCAAAGGTCCCTAATAGATAGTTCCTAATCAATTAGAGGAACGTATATGAATTTAACTCTCTCTAGAGATGTTGAGAACCAGTGCAAGGCATTCCACAAAAATAAATTCCCTTAAAAGGAAGCTGTTTTACCGAATCAAACGGAGGAAAAATGCAAAACAGAATTTCAAAATCTCGTTGATACTAGATTTATTGGACCCATTGTGAGTGGGGAAATCCCTCAATCTGTTGTCTTGAGATAATCTTTAAACTATGTCTCAAACTATCCTATGAAATCATCTTTAAACTAAGCAATGGTGTAGTCCCACTACTGAAGAATATTTGCCTTCAGAGTGCACTGTTTTAAAGAATCAGCTATATGAGATTAAATAGATAATAGTAACTTTAAAACAGTGAGAAGCTTAGAGGACATAGTCTAAGTTAATAGAGGCAAAAAAATGTGGGTAGCAATATTGAGACTGCTCACACAATGCAAAAAGTCTAATATCATTTGACTGTACATGCAGAAAATGTTGAATGGGTGTGTGTTTGGTTATGTATATTTCAGTAGCATCTTTGTAACTTTATGCTTTAACCATAATTTTATTTTATAGGATTTCTATAATTGGCCTGATGAATCCTTTGATGAAATGGACAGTACACTGGCTGTTCAGCAGGTATACCATAGTTTCTTTTGTAACTTCAGTCATCTAAGCATTTTACCCTCCTAGGCATAGTTGTTAAGTGCCATTGAATCAGTTCTGACTCATATTGACCCTGTATAGGGTTTCCAAGGAGCGGCTGGTGAATTTGAACCGCTGACCTTGTGGTTCAAATGACCTTGCAGTCAGTCCAGGGCTTTGTACCACAACATCACACCTATATCTTTTAGCACACACCAGCTGTCTTTGAATGACTGTAATGATCATTTAAAACTTTTATCAATTCTCATTTTACTTTTAGATGGCATATTAAACTATTGTTGTTGTTAAGTGCTGTCGAGGAGTCATAGCAACCCTGTATAGGGTTTCTGAGGAGTGGCTGATGAGCTTGAACTGCCGATCTTGAACTGCCGATCTTGCAGTCTAGCACTTTAAGCCAAAGTGCCATACCAGGACTCCATATTAAACTATAATAAGACTTAAATGCATTTTAAATGCATTTAGTATCTGTTAACATGTACCAAATTCAGGTGCCAAATTTTATTTTATCATAAATTTTTAACTTAACGTGAATGATAACTTTGAGTAACAGATTTAGTAGAAAGAAATAGCATACTCATTTTTCCACTCAATACGTCAGAATATGTATCTAAGCTTCACATTTTAATTTTAGTTACCATTGGTTCTTAATATTGGTCCCTTTCAATGTATTTGAAGGGTAGGACAACTCCCTTGGGTTGGTAATACTATCAAGTGGTTAACTAAGGCGGTGATAACACGGAATTATGGGCATGTTTGGTTTGAAAAGCCCATCAAGAGGTTTTTATACTTTCCCATTGAGAAACACTTCCTTGCTGTGTTAGCTTTAAAAACAAAACCAAACCAAAAAACGGTAATTCTTCTGTAATGAATAGAATCTGGAAAAATAGTTTGCACAGCTAGTTACTAAAGATTGCATTAAGGAATTATAAGGATGGCAAAAATTGATGTGTATAAAAATAGTGTACTAAGCATCTGTTCAGTAACATTTTTAGAGGGAGAATGTGCCATAAAGAAAGGCGTTTTGGCTGTTTGTTAGCCACATAATCAAAATGGAAAAACTATTAGGCTTTAAGGTGCCCTGATGGTACAGGGTTAAATGTTGGACTGCGAAGCACAAAGAAAGCAATTCAAACCCATTAGCCTTGGGAAAAAGATGAGGCTGTTGGTTCCCTTAAATATTTACAGTCTCAAATCCTAAGGAACAGTTCTACTCCTATACAATTGCTATGAGTCAGAATTGACTTGATGGCAGTAAACTTGGTTTGTTGTTGTTGTTTAGTGCTGTCAAATTGATTCCGACTCATAATGACCTTGTATAGGACTTCCGAGGAGCAGATGGTGAGTTTGAACCACTGACCTTGCGGTTCAAACTGACCTTGCCATCTAGTGCTTGACCTATAGCGCCACACCAGGACTTTGTTTAGCTTATTGTTAAATGCCGTTGAGTTGGTTCCAACTGTTATCAACCCTATTTATGGGTTTTCCTAGAAGTGGTTGGTGGGTTTGAACCGCCGATCTTGTGGTTAGTAATCCATTGCTTATTCTACAGCGCCATGCCAGGACTCTGGTTTAGGTTAATAAGTTTTGGTGCATTATTTGAAAATCTTGGGAAATAAAATTTCTTTGAGCATTTACAACTTCCCCTAATTGCTGTGAGTCAGAACCAACTCGACAGCATTTAATAACAACAACTCATAATCTTATAGTAACATTTAGAATCTTTAGGATAGATTTAGTATGATGTTTAGAAATTTAGATATTTAGCCCAGGAAAGAGTAGCGCAGTCATGGCTAACTAGCTTTGTTCGTTCTTTCTAAGAATGTAATGTTCAGTCAATCGGCAAGTATTTATTGGGCTTTTTCTGTGTAACTAGTGCTGAGTTAGGCCTAATGGAGAATATACAGAAATAGAAACCTGACAGCTGTATGT